AAACTGAAATTCAATATGCAAAGCGGAATTCCTATTCCTCAACAGCACTTAAGACACTCAAAGCACTTGAATTTTATGTGAAGCTGAAAGAGACAGCTCCAGTTTAGACCTTTATAATGACTGAGCTTTGGATGAAACTCCTATCTGTATACTGACTACGTCAATAATGAAATAACGGACGGAATCATAATTAGTCTTCATGATACTGAGTTAACAATAGTTTGTCACACAGAATTCACTGAACAGTGAATGATAAGGTAAGGAAGAATGAAAGTGCCTAATTATGTATTGATAGGATGTTCCGACAGCTCAGGTTAAAACAATGACCGTCATTAATTTCAAATGATGTTTGCAATAGAGAGATTTCATCAAAATGAACATTCACAACGGACTCATTGTTGATTGCAATCATCACAAAAACACATATACACAATACTACTGATTTGCAAATATAATGTTGCAAAACTCCTGTAAGACAAGTCAGTTTCTATTAAATGAAGACGATTACGCAAATAATAAAAACCATGTTTTGAATTTTATTAACAATATCACATCATTTATTACGTAAACAAGCATAAGAATGTATATAAACCAATTCTTCTCAATTATTTATAGGGTCAGGCGTAAAGTCCTTCAAACGGCTGAAGCATTGATCATCCAGATGAAGAAATCAGAGCTATGTGTACTGAAGAAATATCTTCAACCACTCCTCCACACTGGTCAACATCAAGGCCAATTAATCAATAATAATCTTAGCTACTGAATGACCTAATTTGACTATTTTACCTACGACCGTCCGTCGTCAAGTGTAATTGTCTATGTTGTCTCTATTCATAAATCATTTGATCATTATTAATGTTTAAACATAATTGTTATTCTCATCAATATATGATTCATTCACCTCGCATTCATCCATCCTTATTACGTCCTACTGATTTTTCACACAGTATAGTCTTCCACCAAACATTTGACCGTATTGTAATTGCACTATTATGTCTCTCACCCTATCTGACCCATATTTATTCTGATCATGGATCTTAAATTTTCACCAAACATAAATGCAGATTCAAGTTAACATTCTATATGAGTCATATCAACATTAACAATTTTACTGCATTTTGTTTGATAAACCTAGATTCACGTGCTTTAAACGATGTGCTTTGCCCTTAAACTGGTGAAGTGTTTGTAATAACTAAAGATTCCCTTGTACTTGATGACTATTTGATTTCGAGTTCCAAATATAATACGTTCGTTCGTACTGATCTAGTACTTCTTGATCAAATTTCGACATTTCTGGGATTCTTAGTTTGTATTATAATTAAAATACTTCGAATTATGATATTGGCGTCGTCATGGTGTCTGCGATGGAACAGTTAGATATTCATTCAACTTCTGAAGCTATTTGGAAAGATTGGAAATCTAGAGCATGATGAAGAAATATGTCAAGGATGATAAAATTGTGGCACATTTTCTCACATTCATCGGAAACAAAGCATACAGCATACTGGAAACTTTGGCATATCCAGAAGAACCTATCTAATTTTTTTTATGCAACTCTTAAAAAATTATTATTAAATCATACAAATTACACCAGTTTTGAATGCCGTTAAAGGCGAAATATCATAATATGATTCGTCAGAATGACCAACAGGTTAGGGAATTCATCCATGAATTGCAGAAACAAACTGCCAATTGTAGTGTCGGTGGTCAACGTCATGTGCAACTGAGAGATCGACTACTTGCAGGAATTAACATAGAAGATCTGGAAAGAGAGCTGTTAAGAATGCCGAACTGTTACTCTTAGGATGCTGGAAATGCATGCGTTAACAAAAAGGCAATGAATGAATTTGATATCCAGTCGATGAAAATTTTTAATACATTGCTTAGTCGTCATGATGAAATATAATCTCAGGATCGATCAAAGTTTCGTCCGTTTAATACTGATGCCTGTTTGCGTGGAAATATGAAAGTTGTTTCAATAAGGGATCGCAAAGCAAACAGTGAAATGTCACTGAGCCCTAGACAAATCATCCGGTATTTGGGTCACTGAATATCGAAAAAATCATCGATTGTCGTCAAAGTCAAGGACAACCGATACTCATCAGTCAATCGTACTCCATGGACTGGCCCAGAAACAGTGGTCTTAATTTCGCTTGTATCTACTTTAACCGATATATTTCTGTAATAACGTCCTTTGTGTTGCAGAGTCATCAAAGCATTTAAAGTACCTTGGTACGTCAATGGGGTCATCCATGTAGGGTGCTGAACACTAGGTGTGAATTCGGTGTTAGCTGTTTCGTCACTACATTCCCGTCCAACTCGAGGAGGCCCCAAACCATTCGACATAAATTATCCAGGCTGTTGATCTGCAGCTCAACAGTGATCCCTATTAGCGTGAAAATATTAAAGTTATTTCGACAGGGAACTGCAAAGCAAACAACAGGTGTGAGATCAAGTTTGGTGAATGTTAATCTTGTGACAAATTTCATTCTCGTAATCCACGTACATTTCATAATGCTGAATGTTTTAAATGTGGTAAGATAGGATGCATTCAATCACTCTGCAAAACTACTGTTCATTTTACTTCTAGTAGTACTAAAGCTTGCATATTAAAGCCCATTAATTCGGCTCTTCCTAATGATCATTTGTCTTTGTCTACATTTAGAAAGATAATGCTCATATTCAAAAGCGATTATATACATCGCTTGGTTTATTTCATGACTTTATTGCGAACACAGGCAGTACAAAGTCCATTATTTCATTCAAGAAATTGAAATCTTCAGATCCAAACGTTGTGGTAAGACCCACTGAAATCTCAATACTGAGGATTATTGTACGAAGACTGTCCATACGAGGATGTTGTGAATTGCTAATAAGAGGTTGTAATCCTTCATACAAACTTTTTGAACTTATAGTTAGGGAAACAGAACTGTCAATACTGAGTATCAAAAAACGGAAACGTTTAAGGTGGAGTTGTCTTCACTAGTTTCTAAAGAAAATTTCGATGCTTCAACTGGAAGTTTGATAGCTGTGTGTGCCAAGTGGAGTAGAGTTATGAGAATTCAGCTTATAGAACTTCAAGTACAGGGTGACCCAGTCTTACTCAAGGGATGAATAAATCCTTATGGTCTTCCAGAAAAGTAGTTCGTAAGACATTTAAATGTGGTGAAGAGCAAGAGTCATGCTATCGATATCTATTAAAGGTTTTTCCAAGTGATGCTGTTCTTCGAACTTACTCTCCTAGTGTACATTCTGCACTTCATACTAATGCATTAACAGTGAGTATTGGTGCGGTTTCGGAGCGGGAAAGTAGACCAGTAATCTGTGTTTCACTCAAACTTACTGTTGTTCAACATGGTTATTTACAGTGCGAAGTATTAGCCGAGTTTTGGGCTGTCAAACGTCACTAATATTTATTTTGAGAGACGTTCACTATTGTTATTGACCATGAAGCTTTACAGTTTGTTCTTCAGCCTTGGCAATTTCCTCAGCTGATGTGGTTTTAATTATGGAGCTATTAAAAGGAAGAATTCTTCGGTCAAATATGAGGTGTTTAGAGCCTACAAAAGTTTCACATTATCGTGGGAATGATCTTCGACTAGCCATAGGGATCGTGGTGAATAATGTTGGCAAGTCTATGGTGCTAATTCTAGATATCAATGACTTAAGTATACACAAATGACTTGTTGATCAAATACAGTTCGACGGACCAGGTGAATCTATTCCAATTTCAGTTGTTAATCCTAATACTAGTGAGTGCAGTGTAGATTATACAGAGTCTTTATCCGATAGGATGTCGGAATGAAACAGGAAGAACCTAAGTAGAAGACGTATAATCGATCACAGAAATTTAGACGCCATTTAAAGTTGTGTCAAATGTGATGATTGCATGAACTAACAATTCCTTTGTACTTGTTAAATCCTTGGTTTTTAATTCCAAATACAACACCTTCGTTCGTGCTCATCTAATACGTCTTGATCCAAATGCATGATTTCTAAGATTTTTAATTTGTACTATAATACAAATACTCAAAATTATGACAACTGGCAATTTTTCGGATTGTTTATTTGGATGTATTATTGTAGAACCGGAAGAAAATTTATCGAAAAAAACATTATTCGTTCAAATATCAGTCTTTTAATACGATGGGGATATGTGGTGGACCAAACAGCATATAAACTCAAAAAGAGGGACAGAGTTATTGAGTACAAACAGTAATGTTTATATATCAGTTAAACGTTATAAACACAATAAAAAATTAGGGACGTTACTTAATCCAGATGGTTTGTGCGTGTTCATGTTGAGTTTGGTACCAGAATCCACATTTATAGATGATTGATGGTTCCAGTAAGATTGTTGTCTTTCCAGTGATATAGCCAAACGTAGAATATAATATAAATTTGGCTGCAGTCTATAAGTGTAGACAGTAGGTGACTTAGAGTCCAGTTATCACAACCATGAACAGTGGAGAATGAGAGAAGTGTGTATCATGATGCGTGTGTCATGAGATGAGTGTAACACGACGGAAGTGTGTTCTAGGCCATACACTTAAACAACATGAACAATCTTTCAATGATAAATGTACAGGCTGTGAAAAATTTCAGAATAAATACATCAAAAACGATTTACAAAATAAATTTGTCATGCCTATCTCCACAGATCGTCAAGCAAATAAAGGAGTCTATAATCGTTCATATATAATTTTTTAATACTAGGTACTATGCCTAGGAAGCCATGTTGGTGTGTGATATTTTAAATGTGTGCTTGGACAAGAGAGTGACAGCATATGCACTAATCCTATAAGCATCTGATCTAGTAACTCTGTTCAACTCTCTTGAATTGAGCGAATGAAGTCCATAAATCCGTTTTTTCCTCGGTGATGAAACTATTCATAAAATTAATTATTATGTTTTAAAGTCTGCACGGTTGGCAAAGAAACTAGTTACCTTACATTAGTGCCTCTCTAGGATATTGAGTGCAGTAACAAGAAACTGAAAGTAAACACGACCTTGAAAGTATTCAAATAGTGTCCACATGTTGTCTTACTCACTGTTGTCACGTTAAATAAGTGTGTTGTCGCTAGCATTGACGGTCATTTTTACGTCCACTATGTTGAATAATTATCATGATATGGTTTTAATTAGAGACTGAAATTTAAGCTGCGACATTAAATGTGTATTCATGATTTACATTCTCTGAAATCTTTCGATTTCTTAGATGGAGGGATTTAATTAACTGCTGGTTTAAGTTTCTGCTATGGATCAGCTGGCTTCATATTCTGTGGTTATAACCCAATCAACTGATAAAGGGAGAATAAAGAGGGACAATAATGAAATAAAAGGAACTTTCCGTTACGAAACAAAGAAAAAGTGAATGGGAAACGCTCCCAGAAACCTCCTTTTACTCTTTTCGTGGAGAAGTAATGTGAAACTTACTCTTTTTGTCGCTCTCTGTCCGAAACGTCGTTGAATCGTCTAATCTTCGTCGAAATGCTCACCAAATAGCCTACTTTTCGTCTAAGCACTCACCAACCTTTTTTTGCTTTGACCTTGGTTACACGCTTTATTTTCTACCTCCAACCTAACTCCGAATGTCTCCTATGTTCGCCTTTATTTCCATAACAAACCAGATGAGGACTACAATTGACCTTATTAAAATATTGTACATGGTTAAAGATATTAGCAATAAATAACACTACATTTCACTCCGGGAAATAATAACACAGATGCTCAAGCACTGTTTGTTGCTTATTCTCATCGTAAGTACAAAGTCCTAGTGTCATTTACAACGATCTGTGAAAGTAATTAGAGGTAATAAATTATTGTGTAAGAATGTGTCCTAATTGATAAGTGTATGTAAAATCAAACAAACTTTCACAACGTACACTTCATTAGTTCAAGAGTTCCACGTGCAAGTTAGGAATCCGGTACATGGTACCTAAAAGCTTTATTGAACATAAAAAGGATTTCAATAATAACTTTTCTTAAACTTCAGTGTTACCATTTTGAACCAAAATAATCTTCCTGTCAATTTTGTAGTTGAATAAACACAAATTTACAACGATGTCTAACTGTCATAGTTTATTAAACAACTATCAACCTAAAGTATGACTTACGGTTACGTTCACTAATAAGGAACACTGCATTTTAGAACAACATTAAAGTTATAACTTCAAATTGGTACATACATGTCCTGGTTTTCTTCCGTGACGCTTTTGTATTTCGTCTCTTATGTTGCGAAAGTACCCTTAAGTCGCCTTGTCATACAGTTTAGCTAGTTGTTTTTCTTTGACAGATGACGATAAGAACAGCGATTTTAGTGCATCTAATGATTAGAAGGTAAAAAATATTCTGACTTTGTACGCTGCTATAAAACTTACACTTCTGAAGTACTCTTCGATGTAGTGCCTAGTATTGTGGAACGGCTGGCATATTCGAGTGTCATGACGAATAATAAAATATAACACGTAGACGTTTTCGAATTACTGTCCATTAGCCGCGTCACCATGGCCGTTTGGAATGTAAATGAATAATCCAATGAATTTAGTAGACTTACAGATTTGTCCTTCATATCTTCTTACTAAACAAACGCATTCAACGTTCACAGTTCCTCTTTAGATGAAAAGGAGAACTGCAGACTTGATAGTACAGTATTAAGTTTCCGTAGTTCTTCACGACTATCAAACTTAGACATTGGTTGCACAATGTTCGCACTCAAGTCTGATATAGCTGGTGATATATTCTGCAGTAAAACATGCGGTTTGCCAAATCCTAAGCGTTTACTTCAATCGAGCACGTGACTTTCCCGGCCGAAAACGCCCTGCCCACGCATTTCAACCTTGACGTTGTGGAGGGGGGTCTCATCCAGCTGCGTCGAACTAGTTTATCAACACTTAAATATAACGCCTACTTCGAAATTGGTGAGTTGTATGTCTGTCTTTCTGTGGGTAATATCATAGCGTGTTTCTTGTTACAGATAATCCTAGGTAATCATTTGCTTAAGTATAAAGCAGTTTGATATTTTCTATGTATCACGACAAGGCTTCAATGACTTCAACACTTTTTGAATTCTACAGGACTTGAATAGAAGAAGTAATTGTACCGTCAAGACAGTAAACTAGGCTTTTATCGGAATATATTAAAGTTATATGAGGTAGTTTTTTTTATTATTTTGAGGGATAAGATCTTACCATAATTTATATTTTTCTCAGCTACTTGGGATTTTAAATAAATGGCGTAATATATTTGGCGTTCTAGGTCAACAAAGTATACTTTAATAAACTACTCTATGTTTCTAGTTGGTTAATCATATGAATAATTTTTATCCGGCTTTTGTTTTGCGAAAATGGGTTTTATTTATAAAAAGCTTAAGGGAATTTGTGAAAATCGATCCCCAGTTAGATGTTACACTACACTACTGGCCCTAGTTAGTTAGGTTGATACACAGCTTGCCACAACCCTCATTGTATTAGTAGCAAACACCAAGCCAATAAATTATCTGCGAATCTCAAGCTATTTTGAAATAATATCTTTCGAAAAATTAGATCTATATGAGCTGTATAAACAACATTCTTCGAACCGAGATATTAGGTCAAAAACCAATAGTGTTAAACCATGAGCAGTTAATCAACCCGATTTTTACGATCGTTTGATGATGAAAAATAAGACAAATATTTATGAATAGAAAATACATTTTTGGCCTTGTGAAAAAACTCTGAATATCTCAATCAGTCATTTGTATCCTAAATTCCTCCATTGTTATAGAATTAACTCCTAAACACTTTCTCAGTGGCAGCCTTAAGCGGTACACAGTATTGCAGTTCTTTAACTTCTATACATTATTAACGGGTTTAATCACTTTGTATAGTAGAACAAGGGACTTTTAGATGCTTATTACTGATAGTCATTTATCTTTTTATATACGAAGCATCTCACTATTTAGATTCATTTATTTTAGAATGTTTTCATTGGTATATCTTCTAAAATTATGAATCTGTTTATTTAAAATACATAATAAATGATCGCTTTCATTATCACATCTATTAGTTCAGAAAGCCAAATTAAAAACAATGATAGAAACAAATTCGGAAACCACAATCTCTTCGAAGGATATAGATTTGCGTATAAATTTGACCAACCCTGCTGATAATGAAAAGGGATCACTTCACGCTTACCAGAAGAGATATCTGTCATCCAACAAAGATGTCGACTACCGAACTTACTTGCCACGAGTTCAAATGGATTCTATACGGAAAGAATACTGTCTTACTGGAAATCCATCATTTATTAAAACTTCGTGTGTTACCGCATATGAATGTAATCAGCCTTTCGTAGACAGGAAATGGTATTCTTCACAACATAGTGAGCAGTCCTTAAATCTGAAAAATAATGGTTCTGCGCGATCTAGTCCTAACAATTCGCTACCTGAAAGGAAGTGGCAAGATGAACAGTCCGATTCGTTCAATCTACCAACAATTAATGTCCCTCGTTTAAATTCTACTGCTCTTCTGCCTACCCCTTTCACAATGCCATTCAAGGCGTCTGATAATCCATCTCATTGTTATCGTCAACAGAATTCGACTTGATGTTTGCAACAATAGTGTATGACAAAGACAGTATGGAAAAGCCCATAAATATATTATGCCTAATAATTCTAGAATAAATAACAAATTTTTACTTTAACTCAGAGTACTCAGTTACAGCAATCTTCCTAATTTCAGTTGAGTACAGTTCGTTGCAATACTCTTATATGTACATATCATTTTTGTGGAAATAAAGTACAGGTGATGTTTTCTATTACTCTTTCCTCTAAAAAATGCCCTCTGCCAAGTATTTGTTGTTATCAGCCAAATTAGAAATAGCTACAAATATTATGCATTAATCTGAATTCTAATTTGGTTTACGTTCTGTTTTCTTGAATATTTTTTGTGTATACTTTTGAAGTAAGAATTATTATATATTGGCAATTTGTCTTTTTTATGCGTTCGTTAGAATATATCTTTGTTTTTTTGTCAAGTCTGCGTTGTTAACAGTTAATCTGGATTGTTTTTACCTAAATGTAAGGTAGAGGGAGGTATGATTGCTTAAATGAATATATTACATGCAACATATTGTATTTGTTAATATTATTTTCGATTGTCTGATCGTACTTATGTTGAGAGCAACGTTATTAATTTTAAGATGTTTTCATCCTTGCTGTATAGGAGAAATAAAATAATACATCTTGTATACTAAGATGTTCAAACTATTAATTCATTCCGTGATCCATAGTTTGAGAACATTACATGTATCAGTTATTAGGCTGTCGTCCTATCGAACTCATGATCAGGAGTGATAACTGAGACAACATAAGATGTATAGGGATTTCTTCGTGTTTGCAAAACGTAACCGCTTTTTTAACAACACTTTCTTGTAAAACCTGTAAAAAAAATCCCCACTCATATTGACTTGTTCACACAATTGTAGCAATTGTTTAACGTAGTAACCTTTTGTCAATAAAATGGCTATAACTGTGAATCATAAGGTTCTCGTGTTATTGAACATTGGAAGCCATACTGTACTGATCACAGTAGTGGGTCTGCGGACCAGTAGTAAAGGCGTCCGATTTTCAGCTACTAGGTTTCAGAGTCGAGTCCCATTTCTGTTTGGACAACCGGATAATATCACTGGTTAGAAGCTGAATACACAAACCTGAATCTGGCAACTTAGTTAATTAACAAGAGGTTACTATTATTGTTATTATCCTTGCTAATTTATCTGTCTACTCTTACATTTATAGCTAGATCTGTAAAATATAAGTCCTATCTTATTATTGTACGAACCTGCGCAGAAGTATCTAGGCATCTTAATACAACAGTAACATTTTTCTGTAGATTCCACGTATTATACAAAGACTTTTCGTTCAACCGTATTTTATTTGAAAAAAAGATTTAAGAAACCCTGAACATTTGGCAACAATAATAGAGACACGCTGATCAAACCTAGTGTCTTGCAAACAAAACGTTCCTTAATGGAAAGTAACAATCAGAAGAGAATATTAACAATACTCATGTTAGTTCCAGGTTTTCGCCGGGCTAAAACGGTGATGAAAACATCATATTGAGGAGTCACTGTGTATTTTCTAATGACCAACATTGCGTTGAAAAATATTTCTAGGTATTGAAAATCGTGACATTTCCGTAGACATTATAATAAAACAGGCATTACATATCCGTTCAACTTCATAGCTTTCCAAATTTCGAGGCCCAAATATTATATATATATATATATATATATATATATATAACGGTTTTATCCAGGCAACTGAAAACCGCTAGAAGCCTGACCCAAACGTGTGTCAGTTCAAGTTCTCACTTTGGCACAGTAAACGGTAGAATACACAGAATGAGAATTATAGTAGAAGGGATATGAATTTATATATCAAGTACGAATTTATATACCCTTATTCGCGTTCTACTTTATCCATATGGTAGTGATACTAGTATTTGGTTGCTTGAACTGAGTTAAGTGAAAAGGAGCATGGCCCAACTTCTCGTGGTTGAAAGTCGCTTGTTTTGACCTTCAAACCATCGCGCTACATAACCGTCGAATTTGTAACTTGATATTTTCTTGGAAAATAATTTTGTGCGTCTATTTTGAGTAAAGTTACCTCGTTAACACTAAAACTGTTGACAAGTCTTGTAACCATCATTGCGCAAACAAGTACGATATCTTTTTGAATAATGAGATGAGGCTATAAACCTTGTTCGATGTCATTTTATAAAATAGGTGGTTTCAACGTTGAAATCTCGTTGTTTGTAGGTCATATGCGTCATAGATTGATCTCAGGTTACAATTAAAAACCAATAAGGACTGGAAATCCTGAGTTTGATCTCTGGAGCGGTGGTGAGCACTCAGTGCTGAAAAGTCCTATACTGTGGTCAAACAGCTTTCCAGTGCTCCTTCGTTTTCATAGGTACCTTACATCATTCTGTAATAAATTAGATCTGCCTCCTCGAATTCCCTTAAACTTCCTTTGTTTGTTAGTCATCATAATTATTACTAATTACGAAGGCTGTATAGGTACTCTAGTAAATTTTATCTTTTTCTTGAACATTTTTATTAGGCTAGCAATTCATTTTCTGTGCGCTCAAGTGAAAATGTCATACCGAAATTAACTAACAATCTATCTGTTTCAAAGAGTAAACGGACAAGATCATTGCTGAAATACTGGAATAGTGTGTGGCAGGTTTTTTTAGTTCTATGTATATTTTTTAAATAAGCAACGTAACTGATTTATCACGTACCGACTCACTGGAATTTGAGTCACATTTGGGTCGACTAGCTATAATGTATTTAGTGAAGTTGTTAAAGTCCTCACTTAATATATGGGAAATACATAATGATATAAATCTACACTATACGTTGGTAGTTACGATACCACATGTACAGACAAACATTTTTACGAAGGCTTCTGCTCTACTGAAAATAGGAGTGGATACTTGTGTTTTGCCATTGGAACATCGTTAATATTGGGTCCAGAAATTATCATCATTCTGAATAATTTTGTTTTACGTAAATTCTTATTCACGGATCTGATGATTTATATTTGTTTTATCTATTTTTATCTTCCTATATACCCAGTGCACTTATAAACGTAGAAACAGGTCGCTTCTTGGTAGGCCAAAATTAATTGAAGCTGATATTGTTAGATAGTAACTGCAGCAGTTATTGCATTTTATTGTTGGATTGGTAAAAAAATACAAGCGATGCTACTACTACTCATATATGAACAAATCTAAAATGATTTAACAAATTAAAAAACGGACGTCTGTGGTGGGTAACTAACTACCTTACACCCGACACGGTTTAGCCCCACTAGTCACAGCTTCTTACCAGAACTCTGGGGATTTCCTCTCGAAGCTAGTCACTAGTGATTGAGCGCATGATAATTGTCAGTATAGGGTTGTGGAGATTGTTGAGCTTCATTGAAATTATGAACTGATCATTGTTGAGCTACCTTTGAAAACCTGGAAGTATTAGACGGCTGTTTCATCCTTGTGTGGGACTCCTCATAAACCAGCGTCCGCAAGTGGGAGTCAAACCCAAGACCTTCGGCGTCACACATCTCTAATCTACTGACGGTGTTAATATCTAATTTCAATCAATCTACGACACTGCTCAACTATCTTCCATTGTCTTTGGTGGTTTGCTGCCTCACACACGGCCAATATACAGTGGCATTTCAATAATGAAGAATCGTGTACAAATACACAAAAAGAAGATTAGACGTTACAAGAGTTTTTATTTCCGTGATTTTTACATGACCATGAAAAAGGTCAACCTTCAAGCATATTAGTGAATCATGTGGACTGATTTATAGTTGATTTCAAAATTCAATTGATGCATCAATATAGCAATTTCGAGTAATGACAAGTTCAATGTTTTTCTTAAATGATCCTCCAAACAAGCCGTCATCAATTGTAATAAATACTGTATTATTTATACTGTGTTGCTTTCTCACTTCCTATTAACATGCTTGTTTTTATTCGGATTAATAATAAATAAGGTTTTGATCCTGAGCAAATCCATTACGGTGTACATCGCTCCCATTCACATAGACAACAGCAACGTATTTTCAGTCCAATGGCTAGTTTATGGAAAGCTATGCAAAATCAAAGTCAAATAATGGTTATGACTCGTGGTTTAAAAGAGCCTCGTGCTTCAATTATTGGCAATTTAATTGCTTTCGATCGTTATTGGAATTTAGTAAGTGAAAATTAATTAATTTTTTTAAATAAAAAACATGTACAATTTATCTGTTCTGCATAAATTTATGTCATATTCGGCTATTGTATCGATACAATCCACATTGGACAAACATATATACCAAATAAAACTGATCATACTTCAGAATGGGTTTTGTGGAGATTTTTAGAAATTTCACTGGTTGAAATCATGAGTCAATTGAAGCTAGATAACCATGGAAAACCTGGAAGCACTGGACGGCCGTTTCGTCCTAGTATGGGACTCCTCAGCAGTGCACACCCACTTCATTTAATATTACCAATAATGGAATATATTCCAAATTTAATTAATTTACAATTTATTTTATTTCTTTATTTTTTAACTATATAATTTACATGTATTCCAACTACTTATCTTTAGAAACTATAGTCAATTTATATGTGAAAATTATATTTGAAATACTCTCAGCGATTGAAATTTAACTAATTCCAACGTTTCGTCCAGCTTACTTGTCAAAATTTGATAATTTTGATTTTGATTATTACCCTGAAGAAGTCCAGACAAGTTAGCTGGACGAAACGTTGGAATTATTTAAATTTCAATCGCTGAGAATATTTCAAATATAATTTTCACATATAATGACTTCTCTATACTCGGCGCTCAATTACTGTCAAACTATTCGTTCTAATCTTGACGAATATTCGTATATAGTCAATTTATCATGAAATTTGTATGATTGTTTTAACTTTAAGAAATATACATGTACAGCAACGAAAACAACTCATTTTGAATTGAAACAATACACGTACTTTGTAGTGGATTGAATAAATAGTTAAACCATGGGATACAATTACTTCCAGAGCTGATGAAAAGTCCCAAATTGGACGAAATGCACGTCTTGAATTCCATTACTAGCTACAAAACATCTTCGTTTTAAATTGTTAGATCAGTTATTATAACATCATAAATATTATTATAAGTTATTAATTGAAATATTAATATATTGGGTTTGTGGAGAACATTTTGAATATTATAGTTTACATTAATTACTAATCTTTGTTATTGTCTCTAGCGTTTCCTAGTTTTGAATGGTTGTTTAACATAAGGTTAGTCCATGTTGTTAACTATAAAATTCAAAATAGTTCATGTTTTAACAATGTTACTTGTTTAAATCTTCGCAAATTTTCAATTTTGAACTGACAATTTCAAAGTATCATAATTTCCCATGTACATTTAAGTAATTATTATATTCTATATTTGGATAAAGAGACAATACTGTGAGAAATTAATCACAAGGCTATTTATGAACTGGCGAGTTTTAAGTTTATTTATTTATTCATTTAAATACATAAATATTAACACAAACAAAGCACTAAAATATGTATAGTTTTTATCAGAATGGGGTTTATGTGGAGATTGTAGTAATTAAATAGTTGAATTCATGAGTCAATTAAAGCTAGACCACCATGGAAAACCTGTAAGCACTGGATGTCTGTTTCGCCTTAGCATGAGACTCCTCAACAGTGCCCATCCACGATCCCGCTCGCGGGATTCGGACCCCGGACCTATCGGTTTCGTGCGCTAGCGCTTGACCTCTAGACCACTGAGCCGCCCGGCATCCAATAGTATTAATGTGTGACGTCAACCAATCCACAAAATTGCGCCACCGTTTACCATTGTCTTCAGTGAGTTACTATCGCACAACAGACCCGGCTGAACTCCACTTGTCACGGCTTCTCGCTATATATTACTTACTTACTTACTTATGCTTGTTACTCCCAATGGAGCATAGACCACCGACCAGCATTCTCCAACCCACTCTGTCCTGAGCCTTCTTTTCTAGTTCCACCCAATTCTTGTTCATTTTTCTCATGTCTATTTCCATTTCTCGGCGTAATGTGTTCTTCGGTCTTCCTCTCCTTCCTTGACCTTCAGGATTCCATGTGAGGGCTTGTCTTGTGACGCAGTTCGGTGCTTTCCTCAATGTGTGTCCTATACACTTTCAGCGCTTCTTCTTGATTTGTTTTTCCACTGGGATCTGGTTTGTTCTTTCCCACAGTAGGTTGTTGCTAATAGTGTCTGGCCAGCGGTCCCGAAGTATTTTGCGTAGACAACTGTTAATAAACACATGTATCTTCTGGATGATGACTTTCGTAGTCCTCCATGTTTCCGCCCCATACAGTAGAACTGTCTTGACATTTGTATTGAAAATCATGACCTTGGTGTTGGTTGACAGTTGCTTTGAGTTCCAGATGTTCCTCAGTTGTAAATATGCTGCTCTCGTTTTACCGATCCGCCCTTTCACATCTACATCAGATCCACCATATTCATCAATGATGCTGCCCAAATATGTAGAGGTTTTTAACATACCTCAAATCTTCGTCGATTGTGGTTATATTGGTGCATGCCGTGTTGTATCGGAGAATCCTGCCTTTCCCTTTGTGTATATTGAGACCTACTGCTGCTGAGGCTGCTGTCACACTGTTCATCTTCTCCTGCATTTGTTGTTGCGTTTGGGATAGAAGGGTCAGATCATTTGAGAAGTCTAAATCGTCCAACTGCATCTCGGATGTCCACTGTATCCCGTGCTCCCCTTCAGATGTTGACGTCTTATGATCCAGTTGATCACCAGGAGAAAGAGAAAGGGTGAGAGTAAGCAACCTTGCCGAACACCGGTCTTCACTTCGAACGAGTCTGTGACTTGCCCTCCATACACGATTCTGCAATATGATCCATCATAGGAATTCTGTATGGTATTGGCTATCTTCCGGAGCACGCCGTAGTGTCGAGGAAGCTTCCATAGTGTTGTTCTGCCCACGCTATCAAATGCTTTTTCGTAGTCAATGAAGTTGATGTAGAGCGATGAATTCCATTCAATTGATTGTTCTACAATGATCCGTAGAGTTGTGATTTGGTCTGCACAAGATCTATCCTTACGGAATCTTGCCTGTTGGTCTCGAAGTTGGGCGTCTACGGAGTCCTTCATTCTGTTTAACAATACCCTGTTGAAGACTTCTCCTGGTATTGAGAGAAGAGTGATGCCCCTCTCGTTATCGCAGTTGCTGAGATAGTCTTTCTTTGGTATTTTGACCAGAAGTCCGTCTTTCCATTCTTTTGTTACGTGTTCCTCATCCCAAATCTTATTGAAGAGAATGTGGAATATCCTTGCAGTTGCCGCTACGTCTGCTTTCAGTGCCTCTGCTGGAATGTTGTCTGATCCTGCTGCTTTGCCGTTCTTAATTTTTCTGATGGCCATGTTGATTTCTTCAATTGTTGGTGGGCCAACATCGATTGGGAGGTCCGTGGTTGCTACTGCGATGTTGGGTGTGTTCAGCGGTGCTGGTCGATTCAAGAGTTCTTTGAAGTGTTCTACCCACCTGTTTTGTTGCTCTTCAATGTTGGTGATTACCTCGCCTTCCTTGCTTTTCACTGGTCGTTCTGGTTTACGGTAATTTCCAGCGAGTTTATTTGTTGCGTCATACAGTTGTCTCATGTTTCCTTCACTTTCAGCCTTTTCCGCCGTCGTTGCTAAATCTTCCACATATTCACGTTTGTCAGTTCTGATGCTCCTCTTCACTTACTTGTTTACTTCTGTGTATTCAGCTTGTGTCTTGGCTTTTTCTGCTGGTATTTATTGATGCCTTCTTGTTCCTCCTTTCTTGAATCTTATCCAGTGTATCAGCAGTGATCCATTCCTTGTGATAGTGCTTCTTGTGGCCCAGAACCTCATGACATTTTGAAGTGATTGCCTCTTTGATCCCCTTCCAGTTGCTCTCCATAGTAGTTCCCTCTCCATTGAGTAGATCATGAAAGGCCTGGAATCTATTACTGAGGACTATCTTGAATTTGTTGAGTTTGTTAGTAACCCGAAGAAAGGCCGTATTAAAATTTTGTGATGTCCGCCCCATTGTCCAGTGCTTTTTAAGTTTCAATTTCATCTTGGCTATCAGCAAGTGATGATCTTATGCTATATCAGCTCCTCTCCTGGTTCTCACATCCTCCATTGTCATCCTGAACTTTTTGTTGATGCAGATATGGTCGATTTGGATTCGCGTAGTGTGATGAGGTGAAGTCCATGTGCTTTTGTGAATGCGCTTATGTGGGAATATGGTGCCGCCTATGACCAGTTTATTGAAGGCTCATAGGTTTGCAAATCTCTCACCATTTTCGTTCCTTTCTTCCAGTCCATGTCGTCCCATGGTGTATTCATATCCGGTGTTGTTCATTCCAACCTTGGCATTTAAATCTCCCATCAGAATGGTCAGGTCTTTTGTTGGGCACTTCTCGACGATTGACTGCAGCCTATTGTAGAATTGATCTTTAACGTCTTCACTGTAGTCGTTGGTAGGTGCATAGCATTGGATGACGTTCATTGAAATGCCCTCTTTCTTTGTTTTGAAGGAGGCTTTAATGATCCTTGGTTCATGAGATTCCCATCCTATAAGTGCATTTTGTGCTTGTTTGGAAATCATTAATGCAACTTCTTGTGTATGTGGGGCATTTTCTTCTTCATGGCTGGAGTATAACAGAAGCTCTTCTGAAGCTAGTCGTTGTTGTCCAACCTGCGTCCAATCTGTTTCACTGATCTCAAGCACCTCCAGGTTGTATCTCCTCATTTATGCGGCAATTTGTAAATTCTCCCGGTCTCCCACATTTTACGAGCATTCCATGTACCTAGATAAATGATTGCTCTGTTTGTTAGAAGGGGCATCGACCTCGTGACTTCCAAAGGAACGCGGCTTTCACTATGAGGTGTCATAACTCTTCTAAATGAAGACCTGACTCCCAGGGCAGAGTTTAAATGGTTTGAATTATTTTTCTGGTCAGCGTTTTTTAGCGAGTTAGTTTTCTACGGGAAGGGGTCGCTAACCCCATGCCCGACCCTCCTCTTTTATCCGGGCTTGGGACCGGCAGTAATCCCTGGAGAGGCTCCAGGCGGAGTTCACTATATATGTATATATATAGTACTACTCAATGACCGATCAGTTATTTTATACATATATATCAATCAATCGTGTATCATCGATATTCTTATTTTTGATTGTTTTCTTAATATCTTTAGATTCTAAAGAATGTGACTGAATATTCTGTTCATCTTCCGAAATCAGCTTTGAAAGGTGTAGGTTTTGTTTGTTCCTATAAATCATTTTGATTTTTACATTTCGGCGGCCTGCTTGATCATCTGGGCTACCTGTTCCTGCCATCTAGATATTTCAACAAGTTATCTATTTTTGTTTGTTTTAATATATCATTATGTTTATTAATCGCACAACCTATTCTGCTGCGTTTCTGAAACGTGTACAACCTTTCGTTGTCAAAGTTACAAACAACTCAATAAGGGACAATGTGGTTGCTGGCAATATACAACGGAAAGAATGCACATTATTCAGATGTTCATTTAGTGAACTGCTAACATTTAACTGGCGATCACTCAATATTTATCGCCAGGACCGACGAAGAAGAAAGAAACGGAAACTTGTTGAAATACTTTACGCTGAGAATTCTATATTGTACCAAAAATATAATATTGAATAAAGCTGATAATAATAATGAAATAATAATGAAAATTTATTTCACCACGTTCACATATCTATACTCACAGTTTTATGCATTAATTTAATTCCCTTAGTTTGAATACAAGAGAGCAATTTAGAAAATTTTGTTGATCAATATATCTAGTTGGATCACATGTATTTACATGAGTATAGTTCTAATTGCTAGACAGAAATATAAGCACTGGTAGTATTCATTTCGTTATTAAGATTCAAATGTATAATGAATATGATACCAAATGTTTAACTGTGATTTTGATCATTAAATTCCGGTTGATGTAAATCGGTATCCAGACTAATCAGTCATATTACCCAGTGATATGGAGAGCCAATCAGTCGATGGCAGTCCGAAGTGACCTTATGGATAAGCGCATTTTATTGGCTAAGAAGTGGATCAATTTACTAAAAATTAGAGTGGTATATATGAATGAGTATTTGTGCATTTTATCCGATAGTTCAATACACTTTCATACTCGCTGTTGTGTTCTCGCTTAGGTAGTCGGGGAGGAGCAGCGCGTGGCACATAGTGTACCAGTATCAGATTTCGAACACCGTCCATCACAACACTCAGCATTATATTTTATCAGTTAACGAAACTTCTTTATTAACAAACATTGTTTGATGCTATTCAATGGTAATTAATCTAGAATCTGGCTCATATATATCGGTTCAAGTTTTCATTACACATCAACACAGTGAGATGAAATCATCGAGGTGAATCTAAAACTATTTGAAGTAGTAATGCTATCCGGTGTAGTAGAAAAGATTCGGTATAGATATTATGATTCACGAAGAAAGAATAAATTAGCTTTGCAAAATGTATGAAATAATAAGGGAAGATTGAGTGAATACATCTACTCTTTTACCGATTCTGATGTATATTACTTAAAACATGGAAGATTTCATTGATTATTTCAACAAATTTTCTCCTGTATAATATCAACTGTTTAACTTAATATCATAGGTTTTGTATTAGAATTACAGTTTAACTTGCACTTATATCTTAGATACTTCACCTTAATGATTTCCTATATCGTTTAAAGTGTGAACTTAAAGTATTTCTTTTAATTCGACTTTAAATCATAAGGGCACATACATAAACCTTGTTCCATTTACTTTATTGTAAACAACTGAATAATATCTATAAAATTCACACTGTTTAGGCATAAACCTAAGTAAATATATCTGTAGTCGATTAATCATAATAAAATAATTCTTAGGCTTGAACAATAGCTAGAAAATAAAAACTAACTTATTCATATTTTAATAGTTGAGATCTTGAGTAAATTGAAGCTAGACCACCATGGAAAACCTGGAAGCACTGGACGGTCATGATGGTCTAGTGTCACTTGACTCATGACACCAACTATTAAAATTACTATAATGTCCACAAAACCCTTTCAAATATTATTCTTATTTATTTAACAATAAAATAATCACAATAAATAATAAATAGGATTAGATTCAATGTAGATCAAAGCTGATACAAGTAGATATTAAATTCAGGTCAAAATAGTTTGGAGATGGAATCTAACCATACTAAGGAAGTACTAACAAAAGAGTTTCATAATAGACTAAAATAAATGTTAACAGTGACTCTCTCTCTCTCTCATAGAAGTAGGTAGAGACAAAACTAGCGATTCATAGTATAAGTTCATGAAGTTACTAATTATTAAACCTTAACATGTTGCTAGGTGAATACTTCCTGCATAAGTTTCATACAATTGGAAACTTTCAATGACTTGTCTTAAAATCTTATCATGTAATATTAATTACTATCTTGTTAATATTCTTTCTCAGAGTTCAGATACAAATATAACAAAATCAGTCTATGAATATTCGTACTAAGTTTCTATTTTTTTGTTTTTACTAACTGATGAAATTGTGTTTTATAACTCATCAAATGCATATTCGTACATTTGGTTTCAAGTTATACTTTTAATGTAAAGTCTAGTTATACTACCCGGTTGCCCAAACTGAAAAGGCAGAATAAAGTTAAGACTTTGAATCTACTGATTGAAAGTCGAACACATTTTAACCACTAAACTACAATCCCACTGACTAACTTGTTGCAAGTAGTTTTTTTTGTTAACTGTTAATGTGGTACAGTCATACTTCAATAATAACAACAACACGCATATTTTTAATTAATTTAATGACGTAAATTTTAATTCGTTATAAAATTATATCTTAAATTGTTATAACGCTAAAAGTTTCCTCGTCTACACGAATGGGACGCTAATTTGCCTTAGACGAATATCTACACTAGATTCCCTCTCAGTGTCTATTCTACAGGACTTCAACACAATTCAGATCAAGAATATATGATTAGCCTGACTAGAACATACATATATTTCCACATCAAAACCCGATAACAATCCGACACAATCACAATAATAATAAGGATAGGAGAATATATAACTCATCTAACTCCTGTCAAACTATCTACAAATCTGACTAAGCAATTAACCAATCATTATCATTCTCGTCAACACATCATAGATATTCTTCTTAATTTGTTCTTGTAGAATGGAAAACCGGGACGAAGTAAAAAGCGAAGGGAACAACGTTTACGAAAGTTTCAACGAAATAATAACGCTTTATTTCAGTTGAAAAAATGTTCAAATTTATGCCATTCTCCATCTAATCAAACTGATGTTCAGCTGAAAGATAGTAAATATGTATTTTTGTAATATTTATGTTAAATGATTGAATTATATCATTTCTATCAGGTTATTTTTAATATGTATAGTTTCTTGTTAATTTATAATTCATTTTATTCATTTGTTTGTTCGAGTCCTCTCTCCCTCTCGAAATGCTCTCACATGGTCACGCGTATATAGCCTCTGCCAGGGAAGTCCTACTCACTGCCTTCTCGTGGCGGGATTGTTGTTTACAAAAATGGGAGAACGAAAGCGAATGTCCGGCGCTCTAACCGGATTTCAAACCAATGGTGCACATTGGCTCAAGTATCCTGCGGGAACAAATCGCGTATGAACCAATCGTTGGTCACCGGGTTTCATGGGACTGCATCTCCTTACGATGCTCCACTGCCTTGTGGATCAGACCTTCAGGTCGAAGTCTCGGGGCGTGGCGTTCTAAGAAAACCACCTGCTTCGGTTTGGGCACCCGGGCAGTATCACAGCCCTCACATAAATCAAATGAGATTTGTGTGGCGCATATGTGTTTGATGCCTCCTTGTACCAATATTTATGTGTTAAAATAAATAAATAAAACGTAGAATCTGGTATAAATATACATTAGTTCAGTTAGCTCTACCATACAAACATGATAAAATGAAATGAATGAGATAAAGTACAAAGAAACTAAAATAATGTAACAGTAATAAAATAATGAAAAAGACAAAACATTGACATGATGAAATAAAGATGACATATATTAAGGAATATCTAGAAGATAAAGAGTGGATGTATTTGCATCTCAGTATGATCGATTTTAAGCCATATCATCTAATGTCTACAACCATTGGTTGGAATTATTTCATGGATCTCCATCACGGTAGTTTGAATCTACTAACCTGGCTCGAACCAACAGTTGTTGATCTTGTGAATAGATTCTATATCTTAGTTTTGCTGTATGCAACATCTCTGTAAAGCACTAGTTAACTAACCAAATCTACTTTCATTTTAATTTGGTAACACATTAAGACTACATTTTATTACATAAGTCACTGATCTTAGTCTCTAAAAGCAATACTGAATAAGTGAATATCCAAAAAAATCAAATTATATGGTATAGACCAGATAAGAAATGTTGCTTATGTTAATGTAGTGAACACTATGTCATTAATACAGCTTCAGAACACTGTGAATTTTAATGATTCACATTTGTTCAAGTTAGAGTTAATAAACATAGTCTCTTTCCTAACAAAATACATTAAGCATATACGGTAATAAATTGGTGTCTTTTATATAATGATCCATATTGTGATTGAATATTTATTGGTTTTCAATTTAATTCGAGCATTGAAATGTATTAAACTTAACTAAATGACACGTTTGTTAGTTATACATATGAAAAGACCTGGATTTACCTTATTCTATCAATCAGTAGACAAGTGGTCAGCTTTAATAACTAAAGTAAACCACTAATTACCATTTAATGCTTAATTCTATAATCCGTGGAAAAGGTCGACTGAATGAAGAATATCAAATACTTGGGACCAAATTTAAATCATCAGAAAGTGTGGATTTCTGTGAAGGCTGCAAAGACTTATTTCCTTGATGAGTTTGAGTGAAGTTGCCCAAAAGTTAAGGTATCTGATCTTCAGCCACTAATTCTCAGGTTCGAACCCCACTTCGCCTACCTTATTCTCTTGCAACCGGGTAATATCATCAACCTTTGCACATTTTGGGTATGCCTGGAAGCCGAGTACGCAAATCTGTACCTGGTAAATGAGTTAATAGTTAGTGATGAGTTTTAATATGAATTAACTGTGTTTAAAATCTTTTCTATGGAATTCATTTTTAAACACCTAATTTCAAGGTGTATTTCACTGTAAATATCTTGACATTTAGCCTAGTTAATGATTATAATCAATCTTAATTAAAAATCAGACGTATTTTTAATTATTAGTGAATAACCAAAGTAAAATTGTTATTATAATGGTTAGTGAAGATTACTGAATTTCGAGGTTTCACATCACAAACTGGCTTTGCTTAAGCAGACAGTAAAAGTTAGAAAACAATAGGAATCTGTTTCATCTCAGTATGGGACTCCTCAACAGTGTGTATCTACAATCTTTCGGAGGATCGAACTAAGGAGGACCTTCAGACCTTGAAGCAAGCTGTTAACGTTCAGGTCAATGAGTTAGTATCCTGTTGTTCTCATTCACAGCTTCAATCAACTTGCTGGACGGACAACTGATTGAAGCCAGTTATACTTAATCCTTTGTAAGCAGTGCCTGATACTCTTGTTCTCGACTTTTAGGGCGTTACTGCCGGTGATGGAAATCCATGGCGCAAAGCGAGGTGTCATATTTTTAGAGCCGATTATTCCTTACCCTCTCTTTTCGTTGTGGGGTGTTACCATCACTTCAGTTCACCAATCAACCTGTTACAAATTTTATTTTACATCATTTTTGTGCCACTAACTTTGGTATGTGTCTTTATTTTTACGTCCTATAAATATTATTAGACCAACCATTAGAAATCGGACAATTATTTCCTGATCAGTATGGCGATCATGATCAAGATGGGATTGTGGAAAAAGAAGCACGTGATGATGAAATTAATAGATTGAGACCTTTTCGTCTACTTGGTAAATCCCCCTTATCTGATACAAATGATCATGATGATCAGTCTGTCAAAAAATGTGATCAGATTGATAAAAGTGTTTTAGTGAATATTCATAATCATTTAGACGAGAATAATAATAATTGTTTTTATCATAAATCGTCAAATTGGACATCATCTATGGTTAATTTGAATGAACGAAATATGTCTGAATTGTCTGATATGTGAGTTTTATATCATGTAATTTTGGTTTTTTTCTTTCACATTTTACGTTTTACAACGAAGTGTTCAAGTTAGACATTAACACCGTTAGATGCCGGCCAGCTCAGTGATCTAAAGGTTGAGCGCTCGGTAGGTCCTGAGTTCGAATCATGCGGGTGGGATCATAGATGCTCACTATTGAGGAGTCCCATACTAGGGCGAAACGGCTGTTCAGTGCTTCCAGGTTTTCCGTGATGGCCTAGTTTTAATTGACTCGTGATTTCAACTATTAAATTAATCGTATTTAGTGGTTTCGTTTGATAATATTTTTATGCTCAGGAATTTTACTCGTAGAGTAAATATGTAATTTTATCTTGAGAAATACTTTGATAGAATATTAAGTTTCCACTCCACTGCTAGCAATAATACATTTATTCGGTCCAACTTGTGATAAAAATAGCTGTGTCGACGTAATCTGCGCAGTATATATATATATATATATATATAAATATATATATATATATATATATATATATATATGCTGAAAACGCTGATCAAAGTCCAGTCCTGAACTTCACCGTTTTTATCTATAATATAAACGTCATATCCATTGAACAAGATGTAGCGGTAAATAAATCGCCAAAATAAATAGTTCCGTGAGTTTTCGATTCCGACCTCATTAATTTCACTGGACACACTTAGCTAAAATCGCTCGGTCACACATCGGCACCAGATCACGAGTGGGTACACGGTGCTACTCATTCCTCGCAAATGCTAATCAACTTAGACTAAACGCTTCTCGATATATCGATAATCTTCCAAATATATTTTCTAACCTCTCCATTTCTGACTTCTGATTTCACTGAGTTGGTAAACTTCAATTATAAAGGTGTTATGTATGATGGCGTTGTCAAACTCCGAATTCCTGACGCATCTTTAAAGGTAATGGCGATATGAACTCAATAGATAGTGCTTTTAGTGTTAGAAATAAAAGGTGTTCAGTTCAAACTCCGATATGAAGATTGGCACCAATGAGTTCGAAATGAGATGAAACACACATCCTAAATTCTATTTCTGACAACAATTTATCTGTTAATCTCTAACTGTGTTTCCTAATTTTTATTCATTTTTATTTAAGTCATATGTGTATTATGATTAATTCTCAAATTTTCTTATTTCTTCGTGTTACTGGTATATATGAATTATAGCTAAACACTAAAATTCAAAACTCATCATTTTTCATCCGGTTTGGTAACTAGTCAGTTGAGATGTAACCTTTGTTGAGTCTCAAATATGGTACTTAGTACTTAAAATATCAATGCCTTATGCATTAAGCTTTTTATTTAGTTAATTTTCTTTCCCATTTGTATTAATATCACCAAGTGTGATAACTTTATCTGATATATATTTGTACTAAAGTCACAATGAAATGATGCTGTTTAAGTGAGTTCATTCCAACATAACACCTCTAATAAAGTTGTTGATTTTAAATCACCTTAGATAATGAAATGATTTCATACAGTTAGAAAAAAAAATTAAACCGTAAGTCAATTTCGGAAAATAAGTTAGTCACTTACATATAACTTATATATTTTACTGTCTGTGTGCATAATATAATTTCTAACATTTTTCCAACTAGTTAAGCTCATATACGTCGGGAGTTGTGGGACAATTGTCATTTATAAGTATATCGTAAATAGACTGAAGATAAAATTAGATCATTGGATACCAGTTCAGCGATCTTCATGATTAAGCATTCACTGTATAACTTGAAGTTTCTGGGTTTGATCACTAATCAAATCGTGTGTTTTTGTTAAGAAATCCCATACTAACACATAATAATTGCATCATGTTTTGTGCTATTCATTGATACCCCCATATAAGATGATCAGTCTATGATGAATACAATTTACAAATCAAATCAATCTTCACTACACCACTTTACCTTTTGTACTATTTTTCTTTTATTATCATTATCGTTAATTATCATTTATTTTATTATAGTTCACTTTGGTATAGTTTACAAACTCGTCGAAAACATCCTTTCACTGAAAAACAAGATAATCAACAAAATGAAAAAATTCACATTGATGATGTTGATCATCATCACGATGATGATGATGATGATGATGATGATGATGATGATGATGACAACGAACAACAATTATTTATTCGTGGTGCTAATATCATTTTAGTACGAATTATTTCTCAGAATTAATTACAAAATTGAACGAAAGAATTGAAAGAATTCTCCGTCGTGTTTTTTGTTTGCTTTTCCATTCAATCTCATCCAATTTTAATTTTGAGTAAATGAATAAATTTTGTAAATATATATATATATATATATATATATATATATATATATATATATACATGCTAATAAATAAGTGGACTGTTCATCCTTATCTTCCTGACTTTTACTCTGTACTGAGACTGACATTATATGGTATACAATAAAAACCTAATAAAGCATGAACATGGAGAAATAAATTAAATATCAAGTATATAAAAGAAAGACCTTTGAAACTGGTTCCAAGTGAAAAGTCAATACTACCCATCCTTGTAGTTGGGCTATGCTGCAGTATATGAATTTTCAAAGACCAAAATAGGGTCATACAGGCAGAATAGTATATTCATTGCAAGGATGAAAGAAGTATGTATAGAGACCACGCCCACACAACCCACCCTTGTCGTCACGATCACGTTCCTACCTTAACCAATTTTGACTGCTAATTTTCGTCGATTCAACATTCATAGCAATCCTCCAAGTCACTATACATTTATCTTAGAAGACCATGTGGTTGCGAATCAGTGTTGTTACAATGCAGCATTAATAAGAACGGGAAACAAGTCAGTTGAGAGAGAGAAATCTCTAGTTTTTATTCTCGATGGGTTACAGAAGAACGAGCCGAGATGGCTGATACGGATATGTGGAATTCATATGACGCCGTACATCAAGGATGTAACATCTAAAGTTAAACCCCCAGTCGTGTTAATAAGCTTGTATGATTAGTTCTTGTCTCATTTTGTTTAATTGCATGCCCATCCATCTCTCTGTTGCTCATATATAATTGTTGTTTATATTTAAGTACTTGAAACACACCGGGCAACTGATACACCGAACAGTGTGGACTCATGTCATTACAGTGCACCCTAAAATTGTCTAAGTAAATCCTGAAGTTATTCCATTACATCACAATTGCCATGTCAGGTGGCTAGCAAAGCCTCGTCAAAAGCAACCAGATATCTGTAACTGTACTATAACAATGAGAACGAGACATGGATTGACCATCTAGTTCAAAAAGGATTTAGAAGTCATCGTAAGCCAATACTTAAGAACTACTACACACTGCCGTGTAATAGCCGCTAAAAGTTTTTCAACTTTATGGTCAATGCCTACGGCCCTTAATCATGTAGACACTTAAATTTTTTGACTTTGTATACAGTGTTCGTGTGTCCTAAACTTGAGTACTGCATACAAGCGGCTAGCCCCTGTCCAAAAAAACAGTGAGCTTTAGGAAACGTTTCAGAGAACAACAACTAAACTGATTTCCGGAATAGTGCAGCTCCCGTATGATGCTCGACTGGCCATGCTAAACCTATTATCGTTTTCATATCGAAGAACTAGAGGTGATTTGATTGCGGTTTTCAAATTACTTAGCAATAAATTTGCACCTGGTATGCGCTCATCTTTCTTGTTTTCCAAGATAGAGAATTTACGAGGACAATTCAAAAAAGTTCATTAGCCCAGGACAAATTATTTTTCAGCTGAAAATAGACTTTCTCATCGAAACAACGAGTGTAATTCATTAACTCAGCACGTAGTTGAGGCTCCATCCGTCGACTCTTTCGAAAGAAATTCGGATAAACTGAGAGACCATCACTGTCAGGATTAACACTCTAGTACATATTCTACTCATTCTCATCAGTCCCCCGTAACCTAAATCTATTCCACATTTTTCTTCTCTCGTGGAGAAGGATGCGGACTTCCCTAATGAATCATGAACCGGTTTTGCTAAAGAGTTTGAAAGCTGCGGGCGTCAAATTTGTACAAACTTTGTGGTACACGCCTTTGCACTCATTGCACTTTATGCCGCTTTAAATGGAATATCGACCGCTCGGACGTTGACAATTGCATTTCTTGCACTATCCAGTCATTGCACAGAGGTTCTCAAGAAGAAACAAGATACAATAGCACCCAGGGACAAAGTTGATCTATGACCAGAAAAAGTGGAAAACTGCAAACTGTTAGAAACAAAATTACTAACAAATGAAATAGAAAACAAAGTACTCGAATGTACAGACGATAAACTACTTAAGGATAAAAAACGATCATTTTTCGGATAGTTTGGCTAAAATAACCTCAATTAAAGTGAGAACTAAGCTAGAGAACTGCGTCCAGCCTGCAAGCCTCTGCTTAAAAGGTGACTCGGACATACTAGAGAAAGTACAGAGGGCAGCTACCTGTGCAATTCCGGAACTTTGAGGTTTCTCATATAAAGAGCGGCTTGAAAAACTGCACCTCTTTATTCTGTCCTATCGCAGGCTAAGGGAAGATCTAATTTTGATGTACAGAATACTGAGAAATGATTTCAGACCTGACTTATTCTCTCTCTTTCTTCACACCTCAGAGGACATAGCAGGCCAGTAGAAAAGCCAAGAACGAACAAAAAGCCCGTGGTATACAGGTTTTCACACCAAGTCCTCAATACTTGGAACCTGCTGCCTGAAGCAGTGGTGTCCGCAACTTCAACTGACTCCTTCAAGAGAAGGCTGGACACTCACAGAAGCATATCAGAAAAGGAATAACATAGACCGTAGCCCTTCTGTCCTTACAACTCAAATCTGAATTTGAATGTAATATTGTTACGTAATAAACGATCGGAACAACAGAATTAACTCAGTGAAGAAAATACCAGTTTAATTTAGGCTACTGTCCCCCAAAAATCAATTGAAACTCTTATAGTGTGTGGTCTTGATGAACAATTTTTGTGTCATAGTTTCGTTTATTTCAGCGAATAGCTAACCAAAGTGACCAACCGAATAAGTGTTAAAACAAGTCAATCACCCTTTAAATTCTAACCGCAAAATCCGAAACCACCGATAACCTTGAGGACTGCAACGATATGAATATTAGTTTCATGTCCTCGGTATTATGTGGGTTTCGACGCGCGTGCTTAATTGCAAACTATTCAACAATATCTAAGACTTTTGTAGCATCAACAAAATGTTTAGTCACCCCATTTAAAACATTTTCACTACCCATTCCCTGCAGATTCTATGGGCATGGTGTTCCATTAACCAAAACAATGATCGTAGATCGAGTGATGCTCGTGTTAAGACTCTACGATAAAATCGATCCGTACAAAGTTGGTTTAGTTAGTATCCCCCAACAAGTTATAGATAACACTAAATTCTAGATTCAATGAAGACTTTGGAATAGACAGTTTAGATCATGTAGAGCTTGTCATGGCAATAGAAGAAGAGTTCGGTAAGGTTTTTGATTTAATAATCTTCAGGTATTGAAATTCCCGATATGGATTCTCAACGTTTTTTCTCGCCTCAAGATATCATCCAGTATCTATGTGATCGGCACGATATCTATGATTAGTGGTGATAGTTCCAAACACTTGTTTGATGTAATTAGTATCAGTATTCAAAATAAACCTTGATGCACACATAGTTTTTTTTCTGTTTGTTTTTTGCTTCTGTTTTAATTCACAAACTCTTGGTTTAGGTGTTCTGATTGACGGTGATGTCTTCGCAATCTGAAGATGACGAGTTGCCATTCGATATCGATGAAGTAAGTCTTTCATAACTCAGTCCTTGTGTTCGTCATTCCAGTCTTAGCTTTCCTACAACACCGATTTAATGTACTAGTAAGTCGATTGTTTCATCCATTAGAAAGAGTAAATCATCATGATATGATTAAAAACAATTTGGAGTTTTACTGACATCAGTGCAGTGATAATAAGTGTTGTTTAGCACTACACATGAATAGTTCCAAAATTTAGTGTTGGTAGATTCGGGTAAAATACAATGAATATTGTAGCACATGGAAGAATTTTGTGGTCTTTGAATGAACAATTTCTATGAAATTTGGACTTCAAATGAGTGTCTTAACATGTATTTGCTCTAGATATTGGCAACAGATGATATTTAATAGAATGTTTTCTATCTGACCTTCCAAAAATTATCAGTTACGTAATATCTCTAGACAGTTGGTTGGTGACAGTGAAAACCTTACTTATTGAACTTTAAACATATTTTAATGCTTTTTTACTATTTTTTGTGCTAGTTATCCTTTTTGTATCCTGTTAAATCAGTTCACAATGAGTTCGTTATTATAGATTCTTGACAATATACTAAGAGTTTAATTTTTATGAAATTTGTGGAGTTACTGTATTTGCAGCTTACTGGTCATCTGTATTCACTGATACACAATTAATTCGTTCAAACACCTAGTTATTTTTACACTTGGGATAATTCCAATAATGCGTTTCACTATGAGAGTTGTTTATCCGTTTACTGGTGTGTAAATATTACTGTGCAATTTTTACAATCATTGACTATTAAGCTTAATTAACGAGCGTTTATAAAATCACCTTATAGCCTCACTTTTGTTCACTACCTCTACCACTACGGGATTTGAATCGACAACTGCACCTCTGTGCGAATGTGGTATGGCAACTCGAACTGATGTACGTACGTACAAAGTTCTACGTTGTTACTGACTGACTTTAGTTCAAAAAAATTATCCCCAAATTTCTGATGACCCGATGGCCAGTTCTCGTGGACCGGCAGGTGTAGGCATTGCACTAAGCGTGAGGGCCGAACAAGCACTGCTAGAGTGGATCCCCGTCAACAGTCGTTTATGTGCTGTTCGGCTAAACGGCTACGTAAGAACTCGGAAGGATAGGGACACACGTCGTTGCCTTTTTGTCGTTTCTGCCTACGCTCCCACTGACTGCAGCTCAGATGAAGTGAAAGATGAATTTTACAGAAAGCTGTCCGAACTTCTACAGAAAGCTAAACGCTTAGACATAGTACTCGTAGGGGGCGACTTTAATGCATATGGAGAGATATCGTCCAACATGGCGACCCCCTACACCAAATCAACGATGGACTCAAATAGACCATATTGCCATCAGTCATCGTTGGAGAGGGTCGGTAGAAGATTGTCGCTCATTCTGGAGTACCTGCTTGGACTCCGATCCCGCCCTAATACGGGCACGCATCTGTTTGCGCCTCACTGGACGCAAAAAAGCCACATTAAAAAGACTCATTAGAACTGAGTTGAGTAACGAGAAAACCAAAAATAGGTTCCAAGAACAACTGAGGTCACACTTAGGTA